CAGCTGACAAGGATTGTAACAGAATTACATCATTACATCAGAATTCTACTCGTTGCACATGCGCATACGACTTTTTTTGTTCTTGCCATTTCGCTCCTCTTTTTCGTCATTGATCGCATATCAGATTGCATCAGAATTTCAAGGGAAATAGGAAGAAGAAAGTTGAAGGTCTTATGTATATTCTTATTGCGCACTGCTAATTAACCTTCCACAATATGAAAGTCACAAGGTAACTTGTGTTTGCATGTAGTACGCTTTTGTTTGGCATAGTAATTATCTCACATTTCTTTTCAGGAACAAGACTTGTTCGTCGAGCTATCGAACGAATGGAAGCCCAAGGATGCGATGAGGTTGTGTTGGAGACAGAGGTCACGAATGTCAATGCTCAACGGCTTTACAGTAATCTAGGATTCATTCGGGAAAAGCGTCTTGTGAGGTATGCTTATTCAATAGTTTTATTAGTGAAAGTTCTTTGTGAGCACATTCGTTTGCAGATATTACTTGAATGGTGGCGACGCTTTTCGCTTGAAATTATATTTCTCGTCGCCTATGGCTGTCGCAAGGAAAGCATCTTACGTGTAGACTTGGTCTCCGCACAATCACAGACGGCTGTGTTAACAGAGCGTTGTATATATTATCTTGCTCAGTCGTAACAAATATTGCTTATAGAGTTGATTTCTTTGTCAGAGTTCTTAGCATTCGTTTTCATAAGATGTTCCACATAAATAACGTTTATTACTTTTGTGTAATACACCTGCATTCACTACATTGACTTCTGTGTGTCACATCTTGAAACTCTCTGAACCAGATGGGAGCGGCATACCACTTCATGGCACACGAAATGATTAGTGCTAAAGGGAACGGCCCTTGTGCAATAATCAAAGTTCATGGAGTGAAGGTTTTTGATGATTGCATGGTTTGAGACTACTCTTGAGTTACCATGTGGGTTCCAGAACGAAGGTTTCTAGTGAAATGTGTGAGTAGTGTGTGTAACCACACTCTGTCTTAACCCTTTCGAACCCGACTTTTTTCTTTTGAGAAAAAAATTTTTTCTTGTTGATTCTTACTCATAAGA